TATAAATATAGAAACAAGTTTTTTATATTTCTATAAATATAAAAACAAAGTTAATGGATATTAACACCTTTTATTTATATAGACTTATCGTAAAATTGTACGATCTATTCGGTAATGGAATAATTAATATCGAAGAGAAGATATCACCCGTATGTGTAATGCCCATTCTAAGTTCAACTCACAATGTCTTTGTATCATATGCGGATCATCATACTAACATCTGGTTGCAACGATATTTAGATATGGATCTTGAAACTAAACTAGCGAGAAATCTTCAACAATATTATGTTAATTCTGGACAAAATCTTAAACCAGAAATTCATTTATTATGCGCGACGAAATATTCAGACGATGGCCAATGGTACAGAGGGAAAATCATTAGTCTTACCGAAACGACGGCCTATGTAAATTATATTGACTACGGCAATTCGGAGGAAGTTGCCCTAGACTCACTCATGGTTTTGGAACCGCAATTTTATGAACCCCACCAATTAGGCATAAATGTATCATTGTCCGTATCTCTTACTGGCACTGAGGCTGAACAGAAAGATATATTGCAAACTCATTTGATGAGTAAAGATTTTGTAGCTACATTTTATAACGTGCACAAAAAGTGGATCGTCGATTTAACTGAAAATGGAGAAAAACTCAGTGATAAATTCCGTTCGTTGAATTTAGTAGAAATAGAACAAACATTTGAATCAACACCTCAACCAGCATCTCAGATACATGAAACAACACCTGGCAGATTCGACGTATGTATATCTCATGTGGATTCTCCAAGTCAGTTCTGGTTACAATACATGGATAAGATTACAGCTCTTAATGAAAAACAACAACAACTTCAGCTAGAAGTTTCCAATTTTTTGACGATAGATGGTATACTGGAAGAAGGCACTTTGTGCGTTGCCGTTTATACGATTGATGATCTCTGGTACCGCGCGGAGGTATTGGACGCAGATGAAGATATCACAACTGTCCGATTTATAGACTATGGCAATACTGATGTCATAGATAACAAGGCGAGCAACATTCGACAGATGCCGGACGACTGGAAGAACTTAGAAATATTCGCATTTAAATGCAGACTTGATGTTATTCCTGTAGATACAGAGGATTGGAGCGAATTGACTTGCGAAAGATTCCAGAACATAGTAACATCAGTGGAAAGTCTTCAAGCTCTGATAGTAGCAGATACTATACCTAAGCGCATAGAATTGTTCATAGACAACAAGAGTGTCAGCGAGATGTTAGTCGAAGAGAAACATGCCATTATAATTAATACCGAGCAAGAACTCGTAAATGAGATAGTCGATCTTGAATTGGATCCGCACTCAGCCTTCGTGTGTCACATTAATTCACCGAGTGAGTTTTGGGTTCAGGAAGAAAAATCAGTTGCCGATTTAGAAGTGATGGCGGATAGATTCATGGTCGCCGATATGTTCCCGAAGATTGAAGAAAGGAAAGAAGGTTTGCTGTGTGTCGCCAAATATCCTGAGGACGAACAGTGGTACAGAGCGCGCATTGTCTCTCATGATAATGGCACGCAAGTCATATACATCGATTACGGAAATTCCGCAATATCCACCGAAATTCGTACGATTCCAGAAGACTTAGCGAATATACCGCCTTTGTCGCGAAAGTGCTGCTTGGAATTGCCGTCGCAAGTCGCGGAATGGTCCGAGCAGGCACGTGAAAAATTCGTCAAACTGGCCGCAGACGGCGCGACAATTTTCCTCCTAGATGTTCTGAAAGATCAAGAAACATCGTTGGTGAAACTAACCTTAGACGGCCAAAATGTCGCTGACATTCTTGGTAATATGTGCGAGCAGAATTTGCCAGTTATAGAAGAAAGATTGCCACCGCTCGGTGAAGAGAATTCGCCGAATGTGATGGTCAGTCACATTAATTGTCCAAACGAGTTCTGGATTCAAGCCGAAAGCAGTATAAGCGAACTGGAGGTAATGTCGGATCGTTTACGAGATGCAGAGAGTTTTCTTACGTTGAACAACCTCGATGTGGGCATGATCTGTGCAGCTCGATATCCCGAGGACGGTTATTGGTACAGAGCAAAGATAGTTGGGCATTGTGAAGAGGGTACGGAGGTTTTGTATATGGATTATGGCAACTCTGCGGTTACGGAGGAATTGCGAGTGCTACCGGAGGATATCGTGAATATTCCCATCTTATCGAAACTATGCGCGCTGGAAAAACCAAATAACATTGTTGAATGGAGTGAAAAAGCTTGCGACAAATTTAAGGAACTCGCCGCTGAAGGAGCCACGATGTTCCAGTTTGAAAGTCTCGACGGAGACGATCCCATGCATGTTCGATTATGCCTAAACGGAACAAATGTTATTGATCTTTTATCTGAATGCGAAAATATTCCAGAGGTTGTAGAAATAGTCGAAACAGATGATGAAAATATTGCTGAAAATAATACTGAAAATAATACTATCGATATGGAAATACAAGAAACAATGTCACATGAGTATCAATTAATAAATTATAAAGAAACAGTATTAAATCAAACGGATGATGTGGAATGTATAAATCAAATGAAAAAGCTTGAACTTGAAGTAGCATGTAATGGATTGACTAACTCTAATATAAATGAGAAATGCGAAGACCAGCAAATTGCAAGCTTTAGCGAAATTAAAGAGAACATAGATGACAGTTCTGAAATTACAGTAGTTGAATGTACTTCCTCAATGTTGAAAGATATTATCAGCGCAGTCGTAATGGAGAAGGGTTTAGATGTCACGGTTAGAAATGAAACGATTTCTAATGCAATTACTTCTATCGAACCATATTTAACAACATCCTCGTCCAATATAAAAGAACTTAGCATTGACGAAATAATTGAAAATATGATAAGAAATGCCACTGACGATCTAGAATCACAAAAAATTGATGATGCAAATTTATTAATTGCAAGAAGAGACATTGAGAATTTGGAATCGAATAAAATTTTATCTGTAACGACTGAAGAACAGCCTCAGGACACGCAACTTCATACTAGTCAAGTTCAGAATGTGGAACAAGAAATATGCATTAAGATGGAATCTGATGCAAACGAGTCTTCAAAATACGAAATTTTAGAAATGATATCATGCTTGCCAAAAGAACAAATAAATCTCGAACAGATTCAAAGGCAAAATCCAACAAAGAACGGAACTATTCCTGAAAGTATAAACAATGGTTTGGAAAATCATTCTGAGAACACAGATACGAGTAATGCAGATTCTTCCTCGGGATTATCTTGTCCAGCGGAATCGCCCATAATTAAGACTGAGCCAATTGTGCAACATAGTCATTCAGAAAAACAGTCAGAGGATATACTTTGTATTTCTGAAGGCGAATCATCTAAGCTAAATGAAAGCAAAACAGAAGCAAAATGTTCTTTGACACCGAAAACATCACATTCGCAGAAAATTGTAGCCGCTGTCGTGAATCCCTATGTACAATCAGTCCTCGACACAAACGAAACTGACGAGGTACTCAGTATCTTAGAGGACAACATTCCTAAATAGATGGTATAATTTTATAACATAGCGGATACGTATTGCAAATTTATATGTGCATACGCATTATGTACGTATAAACTTACAGTATAAGAATTTGTATAACGTAGATTTTGCAAAAGATCATTTTTATTTGCTGTGTTTTTTTACGTTTACATAAAATAAGTATGTAATGCATATTTAGCAAAAAAAGCTGTACATAACGTATGGCAAAAATTTAATTTTTTCTTCCTTTTATAAGCGACACAAATATCCCGCTTTTCTTACTAAATTTATTACATGTTGCTACTACGATACACGTTACACCAAATATGCAACCAAAGATTAATTTACTTAATCGATAGCTGAATTATGTTTTTATGTCTGATGCTAATTAACTCGTTATAATATCGAATGATTATTGCTCTATCTTGAATAATTAATGTTCATGATTTTTTTTAAATTATTGTCTAATATGTTAAAACAATATCCTTCTAGTTTTTTGCTTTCAATTTGAGATAACTAAATTTTTCTTTATTCAAACAACATTATTACAATTATATATTATTCGTACAATTTTTTTCAATATAATCAGCATAATCAATATAGTAAGCAAAGTATTACTTTGACGTACATATTTGGCAATTATATATAATCAAATATTTAGAGCAATTTTCTTAATCAATCAATTTTCTTGATCAATGCCATTTCTTAAGAAGTGAAATATTAATTTTTTTTCCATGAAATGCACGATTCTTTAAAAAAATAACATCTACAAATTATTTTCGCAACATTATAATTACGCAATATATATTGAGTCGTCCGGAAAGTTCGTGTCGCATAATAAATGAAATTAAAAATTTAAATCTTCTGCGTTTCCATTTTTCTTCAAAATCAGCATGAACTTTCCGGACAACTCAATAAAACAACATATAAAATAGTATTTAAACGTGATGTTTGTATGCAACTTGAAGTTTCTTTGAGCATTGTAATAAAATTATAAAGTGATTACATAATTATAAGAAAAAGAAAAGCTGTTTTTTGTGTCGTTATTATGTTGTGTACATTTCCTATATATTGAAACTATGTATACATAAATATTAAATCAAATGTGAATTGTAACTTCATTTTGCATCCTATGCCATGTATTGTAATTCCTTTATTTCTGCCTACAGTTCTTTATTAATATGTATAACATTATGATTATAGTGGATGACAAACAAAGCTGTAATCTGTATAAATTGTAATTGTATTCTACTAAAATATATTTTTCTAATAAACATTTCAAGATATATTCTGCCGCGTAATAATTTTATAATTATCCGCATTTATATAATTTGTAATTTACAAATACATGAAATTTCATCATTCATTTATATTTTTATCTTTGTAAAATATTTTGTTACAGCGCTGTAGTATATAGTGGATTTTTCTTCGAAGACATACAAATTATTTCTTGAATTGTTCTGGTAACTTCAGATCTTCAAATTCCTTTTTTTACGTCTGCATGCTCTGGCTTTATTAATTTAAAGAACTCTTATTAATGATTTTCAATTATGTATAAATACAAAATACTTCAATTACATATAATTAGTATCATTAAGTATATTTAATTAAATGATATCAATAATAATTATATGTAATATATATAAAAAATATTAATTATATA